TTCTTGATCCAAATTTATAGGATCTGGATAAGAATAGATCCATATCTGGGATATAATAACACTGATAACAATAACAAAAACACTTTGCATTTGTAAACCACTTTCTTCTCTTCATTATTTCCCTGGGGAAAAATAAACAATAAGATATTTCTATTTCTCCAAATTTTGTTCTGATTTTTATCGGTGTTCCTGAAGCTATTTCAATATAGTCATGATCAATTTATAAGAATAATTTTAGGTTCTGCTTTTTTATGTAACTGTGTTATATACACATTCACATATTTAAACACAGCAATTATTATGGCTTTACAGTAACCCATGATGTTAATATGCCACAGATACTACATTACTGAGGCAGTGTAACTTTGTGAAGAGAACACTAGGCTGAGGCTGACAACACCAAATGCCGGCAGGAATGTGGAGCATCAGGAACAGGAATTTGTGGCTGATGGGAATGCAAAATGGTACAGCCACTTTGGAAGGAAGTGTGGCAGTTTCTTAAGAAACTAAACATACTCTTACCATATGATCCAGGAATCATGCTCCTTGGTATCTACCCAAAGGAGATGAAAATCCGCTAATGGATGTTTATAGCAGCTTTATTCATCATGGCCAAATCTTGAAAGCAACCAAGATGTCCTTCAGTAGGTAAATGGATAAATAAACCATGGCCATCCTGAAATGGAATATTATTCCATGCCAAAAAGAACTACAAAGCCCTGAAAAGACATGGAGGAACCTTAAATTTACATTACTAAGTGAAAGAAGCCAATTTGAAATGGCTACGTATTGTACAATTCCAACTATATGACTTTCCAGAGAAGGAAAATTATGGAAACAGGAAAAAGAGCAGTTGTTGCCAGGGGTTAGGGAAGGGGCATTGACTAGGCAGAGCGTAGAGAACTTTTACAGCAATGAGACTATAATGGTAGATACACATCATTGTATATTTGTCCAAACCCACAGAATGTACAACACCAAGAGTGAACCCTAATGTTGACTATGGACTTTGGGTGATTATGATGTCAATGTAGTTTTATCACATGTAAGCAATATGCCACTCTGGCGGAGGATGTTGACAGTGGGAGAGGTTGTGCATGTGTGGCGACTGGGGCATACAGAGACTCTCTATAACTTTCCTGTCAATTTTGCTCTGAATCTTGCCTTGTCGCCCAGGCTGGAGTGCAGTGGCGCGATTTCAGCTCACTGCAAGCTCCGCCTCCCGGGTTCCTGCCATTCTCCTGCCTCAGCCTCCCGCGTAGCTGGGACTACAAGCACCCGCCACCACACCCGGCTAATTTTTGTATTTTTAGTAGAGACGGGTTTCACCATGTTAGCTAGGATGGTCTTGATCTCCTGACCTCATGATCCGCCCACCTTGGCCTCCCAAAGTGCTGGGATTACAGGCGTGAGCCACCGTGCCCGGCCTAAGAAGTCTTTAAAAAAAAAAAAAATTAAAAAGCATGAGGTGATACAGATGTGGGAGTTTGACTCCTATCTCTGTCCAACTCTGTGACATTTGATAAATTACTTAACATGCCTCAGTTTTAGTTTCCTCATCTATAACTGGGAACAATAATACCTATCTGATAGAGTTGCCATGGGTATGAAATGAGGCATGTGTCTCGTTCATATCCGATATTCATGAATTAGTAGCAGTAGCCACTGTGTGTTTGTGTGTCTTTCTCCCTCATGGTTAATGAGCTCCTTGTGGGCAGGGACTTACTCATTCTGTAACCACCCATCTAACACACTGCCTGGCACTTGGGCTCCATAGAAGTTTGCTGAGTGAATACTTAGTAAGCTCTAACCTAGGCTTTTCTCTCTGGTGGACATTTGGGTTGTTTCCAGGGTTTTTGCTATGAACAAAATACATTTCAAAGCCTTCGTGTTTTTGTTGTTGTTGTTGTTTTGGGTGTTTTTTGTTTGTTTTTCATTTGATCTGCACACCCTGTGAAGCAGGCAGAAAGGGGATATTTGCACTTGTCCACACCCTGGTATAGATGGAATAACTGTGGCTCAGGGAAGTGAAGTGACTCCTATGGTCACAGTGCAAATCAGTGACAATAATTAGAACCCCTGACCCTGCCTTCCTTCCTTTAGTAGATCTATTTTCCTTCTAGCTACCGCCTTCTGGATCCATGGCCTCTCCAGAACTAGAGACCGTGATGGTCGGCCTGAGCTGAGAGCAGCACCTGCACACAGAGACCCATGTTGAAGGTGGTGAGCTGCCAGTTCCCAGATGGCCCTCTGAAACCCCAGGGAACCTAACACCTTATTCTCAAATACATGAAGACTTGTATTTTCCCCGAGCAAGGAGCTTCTTAGGAAAGAGCCAGTGTGCCAGCTTTGTTTTTCTTTCTTCTTCTTCTTTTTTTTTTTCCTATGAGGGGGTGAGGAGCCAAGCTCTGAGTTGTCCAGAAGGAGGGACTTAGGCTAAAAATAGCTATGGCGTGTGGTTTGGATCAACCCCTAGTGGTACCCAGGACTGGGGAGGGGAGGGGGATGCTCTGGAGCTGTCGCCAGACTGGTTGCCGTGGAAACGAGAGAGGAGCAGGGGAGCCTGGGAAGTAGGGATGACACAGATAGCAAGTCCTAGTCAGAGCCGCCGCTACATTTAGGAGAAACAGCGGTGTCTGCGGCTCCCACCCTTCAGGGGGCCCGTGGGGGGGGCGGTGTCAGGGGCATGGACGCCACCCCCCAGGGGTCTCTGCTGCCGGCTACTCTCCTCTCCACGTGCTGTGAGTTGAGTTGCGGGGGACTTGGGGTTTGGGCCCCTATTTCCAAGGCAAGTGGGGGTTTGGGAGGAGCTGGTTCTTGGGGGAGTTTACACCAGGTCTCTCCTTCCAAAAAATGAGCCCCCTTACTCCCCAGATCTCTAGAGGGAGGAAGAGGGGCCCAGGAAAAGTGGTACTGCGATCGTCTGCAAAGGGGTCATAGCATGCACAAGAAATGAGGAGTAGGTTGGAGGAACTGAAATTCTTGGAGGGAAGATGGAGAAATCAAGTCCTTGATCTTGGGATAGAGGTAACAATTTCACACTTTCCCTTCCCCTGAGAAAAATGCAGTCCCCCACTCAGGAAGACAGGATTTGGGACACATTCAAAATAAGGTTTGCCTAGATCCCTGGGGCAATGGAGAGTGAGAGAGTTCTGGGGGTGATCAGACATTGGGGTTCCTTCCCCATCCCTGGGCAAACAGATCTGCCTAAGCAGGCCGACTGGGGGTCAGATTACTTATGACCCTGAGAGAACATCTGGAAGCCTACCTGGAACTAAAGCTAGGATGATGAGAGCAGGGTCGTTTTCTGCATGACCTGGGGTCTCTGAGCCAGTCAATGCTTACTCTTCCTAAGGACATCTGAGTTTCAGGGAAGGAAAAGGAAGCTCATTGTCGGGGGCAGGGGAGACCCTAATCTTCCATTGCCATGGGGCTCTTGGACCCTGTGTCCCCTGACTCCATGGACAATAAATGCAGGGGGTGCCCCTAAGCTCAAAGCCATTTCATTTTGATTTCTCTTCCTGCTCTCTCTACCCCAACACACACACACACACACACACACACACACACACACACACATACCCTCTCCAGAGTGCTGACTGCACAGCACCTCACCCCAGAACATAAAATGCTGGAGTGCTAGGTTTAGAGTCACATACCCAGGCAGTTTCTCCCCAGGACCTGGTCAACCATCCAGGCCATCTGTGGTTCCTATGGCACACTCCTCCATCCCCCACCCACTAGCCAGCCCACGTTTCCGTGGAGTGGGAGGAGAGGATCATTCCCAGGAAAGAGAAGGGAAGGTGGAAGAGTCCCAAATCCTTATTCTAAACCTTTCCCTGTATGGTCCATATCTCCCAGAGGACCCTGGGTGCTTTGGGGAAGGGCTTTGGACCTCTCTCAGAGCAGACTGCAGCTCAGAGAACTCCTCAGAGGGAAGCATGTGAAGCAAAAGCAGGTGGGCTTCACTTGGAATGTGGGCTTTGGGGCATATGGCAGGTGGGGGCGGGGCTGGTGTTAGGATAGTCCATGGGAAGTAAGAGGCTGGGGGAAAATATAACTAGAGGGAGTGGGGAAATAAATGTGGGTGCTTGGTGCTTCACTTGATCTGATTCCATGTCTCTCATGAAGAATAGGATCCCAGAGGGATATGAGCCTAACTCTTGATAACTCTGGGCTTCCTTTCCCAGGCCTCTGTGTGGGGATCTTCCAGTTCCCCTCCCCATTTGCAAGCTGTCTCCACTAGGAGAAAAAACCCAAGGGAAATGGGGCTGGCCCAAGAGCAGTAGTGATCGGGGGTAGGTCTCAGGGAGGATTGCTAGTGGGAATTTCCTAATGTTCCACCCTTGTGCACTGGAGGGTTTCCACTGACTTTCCACGGCTTTCATTTTTTTCTCCTTTGTAAGCGTGTTGAGGGGAGGGAGTGGAGTGGAGTGAGTGAGGTCCAAGGAGGGAAGAATGAGAAAGACTGTGTGTCAGTCTTGGGGTGAACTTCAAAACAGCCTGCGAGGAGAGCCATTGGTGGTTGCACTGGCTACAGCTGGGGAAGAGATGGTGGAAGTCCTTAGGGCAGGGAGAGCTCCATTACCAGCCTGCCCCCCTCCCCAAAAATCCCCCAGTCTAGTGATTTCAGGAAGTCACTAGGGGGATCTGGGCCTGGGTCTTTGGCCCCGGGGCTGCCCCAGAGGTGCTGCACACCCCAGCTGGAGGTGATGGCACCAAGATCCCTGGTACCTCTTTCCCCTGAAAATCATCGTGGAACTTCTACAGTTCTATCCAGTTCAGGTACATTATTCCATTTGACCCTCACCACTTTCTGAGCCTGGGGGGCAGTTAGGGCTGAATGTGTTATTCCCAGAAATAGAGGCTGGGAAACACGAAGGGACTCGCCCAGGGCCCTCAGGGCTCGGTGCTGGCCCTGATGTCCCGTGTCTCCCCATCTCCCGAGGGGCCACTCATTCGGCAAACCTTTATTAAGCCCCTCCAGGATCCCCGACGCCGCCGAGGCGCCCAGCGACGCGCGGCGGGTGGCGGCAGCTCGGGCCCCCGCCGCACTCCAGGCGCCCGCAGCGCTCGCCCTGACGCGGCCGCCATGGCGCAGGAGAACGCTGCCTTCTCGCCCGGGCCGGAGGAGCCGCCGCGGCGCCGCGGCCGCCAGCGCTACGTGGAGAAGGATGGCAGGTGCAACGTGCAGCAGGGCAACGTGCGCGAGACATACCGCTACCTGACCGACCTGTTCACCACGCTGGTGGACCTGCAGTGGCGCCTCAGCCTGTTGTTCTTCGTGCTGGCCTATGCGCTCACCTGGCTCTTCTTCGGCGCCATCTGGTGGCTGATCGCCTACGGCCGCGGCGACCTGGAGCACCTGGAGGACACCGCGTGGACGCCGTGCGTCAACAACCTCAATGGCTTTGTGGCCGCCTTCCTCTTCTCCATCGAGACCGAGACCACCATCGGCTACGGGCACCGCGTCATCACCGACCAGTGCCCCGAGGGCATCGTGCTGCTGCTGCTGCAGGCCATCCTGGGCTCCATGGTGAACGCCTTCATGGTGGGCTGCATGTTCGTCAAGATCTCTCAGCCCAACAAGCGCGCCGCCACGCTCGTCTTCTCCTCGCACGCCGTGGTGTCGCTACGCGACGGGCGCCTCTGCCTCATGTTCCGCGTGGGCGACTTGCGCTCCTCACACATAGTGGAGGCCTCCATCCGCGCCAAGCTCATCCGCTCGCGCCAGACGCTGGAGGGCGAGTTTATCCCGCTGCACCAGACCGACCTCAGCGTGGGCTTCGACACGGGAGACGACCGCCTCTTCCTCGTCTCGCCGCTGGTTATCAGCCACGAGATCGACGCTGCCAGCCCCTTCTGGGAGGCGTCGCGCCGTGCCCTCGAGAGGGACGACTTCGAGATCGTTGTCATCCTCGAGGGCATGGTGGAAGCCACGGGTAGGAGCGGGCCTGGGGAGGGGAGCGGGGCTGGCAGAGGGTGGGCAGGGCCCAGGAAGGCAGGGGCAAGACGAGGGGCCAGGGGAGGTGGGGAGGATGGGTGAAGGGGCTGGTGGAGGATGACAGAGTGAGGTGAGACAGGGGTCGGGGGTGGAGGTGGAACCGAGCAACGCTGCAGAAGGCCAAGAGAAAGCTTGGAGGAATTCTTCGAAATGGCACTGGCGTGGGGCCCTGGGCCCAGAGGAATGTGTCACTTGGAATAGGGAGAGTAATAATAGCTAGTGCTCAGCCAGTACTCACCCTGTGTCATGCACAGTTCCAAAGCACTTTCCACCTCTGAGTCGATTTAATCCTAACAAGATTAAAGGTAACTTCTTGTTATTGTGCTCAATTTTCAGAGACGAGATTGCTCCAATGAGAAGTTAAGGAAATTGTCCACTTTCCTAAGCCAATAAGTGGCCATGCCTGGATTGGACACAGGCAATGTGGCTTCAATGTTTAGTGGTCCCGAGTTGGAAGGAGGGGTTAGGTTCAGGGGTTTTCTCACTGCAGCCAGGTTCAGGCCCCTGGAATTTGACGGTGAAGGTTTTCCATTGCCTGAGTTATTTCTAGGCTGGATCTTGAGGGGAGCTTAATACCTGGTCTCACTTCTGCCTCGGTTTCCCAATTCATCCATTTCCACTGACAAGGGATATAGATGATGTTACCATTTCTAGCCCTTTTCCAAAAGGAACTGGCAACTCATCTGTGATGTCAATAAGTCCAACCCAGACCTACACAGTGAAGGCTTTGGAAGCAGGTGGGAAAAGACCAGTGTTACAGGAGTCGCAAAGGAGTTTACTTAGGACTTGAGATCTAGAGGATGGATGAGGATGAGGAAACTGCGGGTGGAGGACCAAAGGCCCACTAGGGGGCGCGGCAGTCCCTGCTTCTGACGCCAGAGTTGCTGATGCTCCCTGCCGGCTTCGCTGACAAGCTGGTGCCTTCAGATGCTTTCCCTGGCCCCTTTAGGCTGAGCCTCCGCTTCACACCCCAACCCCACCTCCCCATCACTGTTCCCATTCCTGCTTAACCCCGACTCTTTCCCTTTCCCCCATTCACCCCGTTCCCTTTCCTCTCTCTCTCTCCAGCTGTCACTCCTTTTTTGCCAGTATCTCAGGCAGGCCCCTCACCCTCCAGTGAAGTTCCTGCCCGGCCCTCTTTTCTCTTTGTAGCCCCAGCCCTGCCCTCTCCTCCTCGAAGCCCTTCTCTGCCCAGTGTCCCTTATGCCTCTTTCTTCTCTCTCCCACTGGATATTTTCTATCCCAGCTTCACTGAGAAATACCAATGTCTCAGGGCCAGGCTTTCCGAGCTGACAGCCACTCTCCGGTTAGCTAATGTTCACTCTTCTGTTTCCCCTTGTTCCGAGATGGATACTGGTTGGGGGCAAGACCCTGTGACAGAAAGGAGAATGACCTGCCCTGAGGGGTGCACCAGTCCAACAGGAAGATAAGACACAGGCCCCGGACAGGGAGGACCAGGACAGAGGAGATAAGGACAGGAATCTGTCTGTTTTTCTAGAGAGATAAAGCTGGAAAGGATGGTAATATTTTGGGTGAGACAGTCAGGATTCAAGACGCTTTTGAAAAGCAAGAATAATGAGCCAAACCCCAGCAAGATGACATTTAAAAGGAATAAATATAAAATTCTACATTTAGGCTTTAAAAAAATCACTTATGTAAGCACAGCATGGAAGAGCACTGGTGAAAAAAAGAACTGGGAGTTTTAGTTGGCTACAGGCTTGATGTCGTAGCAATGTGATGCAGCCTCCAAAATGATTATGTAATGTTATCCTGGGCCCTATTAGTGAAAGCGTCATGGCCAGAAGAGAGAGATGGTGCACCTTCTCTTATGCGCGGAGCAGGCCACAGTTAGAAAATTTACTACACTCAAAATGCTTAAAGGGCCCTCCTTGGCCATTCTGGCTTGTAATCAAACAAGTAGAATTTTGGAAAACCAGGTCAAATGAGGAATCGTGGAGGAAGCCAGGGATGTTAAGTCAAGAAGAGAAAACATGAGGGAATCTGAGACTCCTGTTTTCAGATACTCAAAGGACTGTGAAGTGGGAGGGGAATGACACTAAGGGTTGGAAATCCCAGGGGACAGGTTTTAGCTCTGTATAAAGAACAACCCACCTATTAGAGCTATCATACAAAGGAGTGGGTCCTTTATGAAGTGGTGAGCTATCAATCCTGGGAGGTAATCAAGCACAAGCCAGATGCCCATTGTTAGAAATGCTCCTTTGGGGAGCCCTATATGGAGTGAGAAGTTGGACTAGATGATCCCCAAGGTTAGTTTCAAGGTTAAGCTTTTTTTGGCTGGCATCACCAAATGACAAGAGGGGAAAAAAGAGCTGGAGATGAAGAGGAATTGGGGCAAATGGAGAAGAGGTGAGGGAGCTGGGTAAGAACAGGAGTTAGGGCGGGGGAGAAAATGGACTGGACCAAAGGGAGGTGGGAGCCCTTAGGAAGGAATAGAAGGGAGGATGCTGGGAGTAGGGTGGTGGAATGAGAAGAGGAGAGGGAAGCCTGGAGCTGAGATCCCCCCTGACTCATGCCCCTCCTCTCAGGAATGACATGCCAAGCTCGGAGCTCCTACCTGGTAGACGAGGTGCTGTGGGGCCACCGCTTCACGTCAGTGCTGACTCTGGAGGACGGCTTCTACGAGGTGGACTATGCCAGCTTTCACGAGACTTTTGAGGTGCCCACACCTTCATGCAGTGCTCGAGAGCTGGCAGAGGCTGCGGCCCGCCTTGATGCCCATCTCTACTGGTCCATCCCCAGCCGGCTGGATGAGAAGGTGGAGGAGGAGGGGGCGGGCAGCCCAGGCCCCTGCCCCTGGCCCACCCAGGAGGCTCTGCCAGCTAAGCAGCGAGCAGGTGTCAGACACAGACTTCCC